CCAGGTTGAGCTGTTGTTCAGCATCTTAGCTGTAGAGGGCAGTGTCACTGGCCCTCATATGTGGGATCCGAACCGGGGCCCTCTGGCATCCCAGGCGAGTTCTTAACCATCGCGCCACTCGGCCGGCCCTGATTTAAATCTTTATCTTTCAATTCAGTAAAAGAAATGAGTTACTTTGTAATTCAGCAAATGAGGGCAAACTAATTTTAATTTTTGGTTTGGCTTACTTATTTATTCAATAAATCTTTTTGAGCACCAGGTATATATGCTAGGGTACTGTGGACATTTAGTATTAGAGGAGAAAAACATATTGAAGGCCTGGCCATAAAGCCCAGTAAGGAGGACAAAGAAAAAATAAGCAATATGAATGTTATATAATTAGTATGATAGTAAAGATATGCATATCTTAACTTGGGCTGACGGTTGGTCAGCAAATATCGCCAGTGAAGGAGATCTGTGGACATGCTCTTGGGAAGTCAGTAGGAGCAGTGAATAAAATGAGAGCTTTTTAGGCAAAGGGCACAGCAAGTACAAAGGTATGGAGACACTGGAGAATCAGAAGAGTGAGTCTGACTGGAGCAGTGAGTCGGTGTTAGTATGCAGTAAGGGATGAAGTTGGAAATGAGGCAGATGCCAGATTCTGAAAAATATTGTAAGCTGTGCTACCTATTATGCTTTATAGGTAAGTTTTAAATACCCCAGTCAAAAGGCGAACTCAATCCAACAAATATCTACTGAGCCTTAAAGTGAGGGGGATGCAGAGAATGGCTCAGAATCAGTGCTTTTCTTCAAGAAGTCTACACAGCCCAGACTGGAAGAGAAGAACATGAATAGTTATAATTCAAGGCATAGGGAGTAAAGGCCAGGGACTGGGTATGTAAAGTCAGGAAATCTATAGGAATGAGTGATACAAGCTGGATCCAAATTAGAGGAAGCAGCAACCAAACTTGGTTGTTTCTTGCCTCCTCTAATTTCTTCCTCCTCCTCTGATATGCTAAAACAACTGTAAAGGAAAACTGAGCAAAGTAAATAGGGTTATAGCTCCAGAGAGACACAGTGCTGTAGATCAGCTCTCCTACTTGACATGTCATGGAACTCAGCAACCTCTTGAGGTTTTCCTTACCAAACTCTAAAGAGGCTTCTGGTTTTGTACTACAAGTAACTGGGGAGATAGGATTTGCTTTAGAGGCGTTTGTATTCGCCCATACCTCTTTTGCATATGAAAATTATGATATGCCTCTGACTGTTCTCTCTAGCTCTGAAAAGGGCAGAAAGTAAAGAAATGGTGGTAACAAGTGTAAATTACTTTCAAGATTGCCTTTAGATGTAAGGAGTTGGTCTACAGGGATTGTCACGCAGCAGAAATAGACTACTAACAGAAATAATAAAGTCTCCTGCCTGGGTTTCTTTCAAAAGTTTCACATGCAGATTTCACTAGATAACCCCCACAGAGGAGGGTCTGCCTTTAGGAATCCTGTCGGGTAACTTGTAAGGAGAGCAGTTTTGTAGTATTCAGGACATGAATGAATCAATGGATCAGCCTCAAGATGAGCACTAGCCTCTGATTCCAATCCAGAGAATAATGAATGCATGGTGATCCCTGAAACCCTTTTCTGTCTTCATCCTTACAGCCACCAAAGCACCTGCCAAGCTGTGACCCGGAAAACCTTCATGCAACGGGAGTTCCTAAAGATCAAACACATAGTGATGGATGAGACTGAGAAGTTCTGCAGTCAGTATGGTGACTGGTACATGAAGGCTAAGAGCATCACCCATCCAAAGGTGAAGGGGGCTGGAAGCGAAAACCTTCCCCATGGGGCTCTCTGGCTTTTTCTGGACCCTTTCCAAGTCCATCGCACAGATGTCAGTGGCCTTCCCCCTCCATCTGCTCAGTTTCCTCGTAAAACAATCACCAATGGGATCCACTGTTCTCTGGAAATAGCAACGGTCATGAAACAAGAAATGAAGAGGATCAAAGAAAATCGTCCCTCCAACCTGTGTCCAGACACACTGGCATTGTTCAGGGAAGCTGCCTACGAGGAAGCAATGTGTGCTCAGGCTCTGCCTGGGGTGTGTGAGATAGAGACTAACCTGACAACAAAAGAAATGGCCAACCGCGTGGCAGAAAGATGTCACAACCTGTTCCAATATGGCTATCTGCCCAAAGATATAGCAATTCTGTACAGGAGAAGAGAGGACAGAGAACACTATGAACCTGCCCTGCTAAAAGCAATGAAAATAACTGAGACCCACGGAGCAACGGGAGTTGTGTTCAGCCAGGCCTCTGGTATTTTGGACAGTCACATCATTTTTGACAGTATCCAGCAGTTTGCAGGCCTGGAGAGGAATATCGTGTTTGGGCTGAGTCCAGAATGCGACCTGTCAGAGGAAACGCATAAGCTCTGCTTTGCCTCAAGAGCCATTAAACACCTCTACCTCCTTTATTTTCATAAATAAACAGGGCAGCTTTCTGAAAAGTATTTCAAGTGATATAGGGAGCCAGACAGCAGAGTTTCTTCTCCCAGGCAGGTGGCAGTTGCTCCTTTTCACATATTACAAGTGAGGAAACCAAGGCACAATCAGCACAGCTGAGAGCCACAGAAATGTATCGGGGGACTGACCGTGACACTATTCGCAGAGTCATGGTCCATTTTCCAGTCCATTTCACCTCCTCCATGTACAACAGACTTTAAATTGGTCCCCTGCCTCCGGCTTTCCTAGTCTAATCCAGCTTTCATGCTGTCAAACAGAGAGGTTCTCCTCAAATAGAGGACTGGTTTTGTGACATCCCCTGCTAATGTATCTTCGATGATTCCCTGCGGTCTTTAAACCAAACCAATTTGCAAGGTTTTCCATGATACACCCTGACTTACTCTCCAAGTGCATCCTTTATTATACCCCCATCTCCCAATGTTTCTAAATGCATCAAGCCTTGCTGGTCTATTTTGGGGGGGGTCAGAGGTAGGGTGCCCTCCCAGCTGCTTACCTTGACTGGGTGTCTCAGGACAGCACCTTGGTTGGCATCTCATACTGGCTATGGGTCTCAAGCTTTAGAGGCTCAGAACTTGATATCCTCTTTGCTCCAAGTCTGGACCAGTCTCTTGGGGATGGCTTTATGCTAATAAAGCTCACAAAAAAATCAAGGCATGCACGAAGGCTTAATTTTTTTTTTTTTTTTAGTGACAGCACTAAACTCATTCTAAACTATGCCAGATAAGTATTGTTGGCATAGCAAAATCTATGCAATACCTTCCTATCATGTCTTCTTTCCAATGTGTGTGTAATATGTTAGAAATGACTTATTTCTAACAATATATTAGAAATAAAATCTTGTTTTTCTGTCTGCGAGGTTTTCTATTTGCTTGGTATGTGTGTTGTGTGTGTGTGTGTGTGTGTGTGTGTGTGTGTGTTTAATGGCTTTGAAAAGATTCCTATTTTCAGACTGTCTTTAACTTCTATAAAAGTTTAGGACAACTTCATTGATGCTGGAGAGGCCTGAATGCAGGACAAAGTGTGGAAATATTCTTTTGGCTATAATTTCAGATACAGCCCATCAGCTTTCCAAGAGGTGGGAGAGCAGGCAGGGCTTGGGAAAATGCTCTTAGCTGCCTTTCTGAACTGCTCAGGCCACCAGACAGGCCAGTATGAATCTAGTCCTAGCCATGGATTAGACAAAAGAACCTCTCTCCTACCTTCTCCTGCACCAATTACTTGCCGCTTCCTCCTTTTTACTGGTCCTTGGGGGGTATAGGGTACTTTTAGGTGGGAGAAAATAATAAAGTTCAGCAATTAATTCATTTTTGATGATGCAAAAGATACCAGTGTCTTAACGTTTGGATAATGGGAAATGTGTGAATTCTTTAAAAATAATTTAAAGAGTCAAAAGTGGGGGGCGCTGGTTAGCTCAGTTGGTTAGAGCACAGTGCTCATAACACCAAGGTTGCGGTTTGATCCCCGCATGGGCCATGGAGCTGCGCCCTCCACAAATAGATTGAAGACAACAACTTGACTTGGAGCTGATGGGTCCTGGAAAAAACACACTGTTCCCCAATAAAACTTCTAAAAAAAAAAAACAGTCAAAAGTGGAGGGAGATTGGGGTAATGGAGAATACAGGGAACTGCTATATTTTAGTCATAAGCCTCAGTACCATTTAAATTTTTAAACTATATGCAAGCATTATATAATTTTTGGTAATTGATTTTTAAAATCATTGTTTTAAATGTTGAATTTGAGAGCTTTGCCAGTGCTTAGTCTACAGAAACAGCTCAGTCAGGCTTAAGGTAGAAGGCCTAACCCAGTGGTTCTCAATTCTGGATGCGCATTATTATCATCTGGGGACCTTTAAAAAATATCAGTGATCAGGCCAGACAAAATACAAATTAAATCAGCATCTCTGGGCATGGGCTTGGACACTGGTATTTATTAAAAGTTGTCCAGGTGATTCTAATATGCCACCAAGATTGAGAACCATTGAACCCTTCTCCTCGTCTATTCTTTTTGTCTGCAAATAGGTGTGTACACATTTCTCTTCCCATTAGACTGTGAGATCCCGTAGAGGAAGGATGGTCACTTACACATCTTTATTTCCCCCAAAAGCAACTAGTTTAGTGCCTCGAACATGGAAGATGCTCAGTAATTATCTGTTGAATGGACTTGCCACTTTCAGAAAATGAGAATCTACTAGGGACAATGCTTCTATTCACTGAAATGAATATCTAACTTTGAAGACTTCCAAGAGGTCAGTATGGAGAATAATC